CCTGACTACAGTAGCAGCTTGGGACACTGAGGCTCACATAATTTTGATCATGATTTGTTGTATTAATAAAGAGGTTATTCATGTTCAACATTTATTGAACATTTACTGCATACCATTTACTAAGCCAGCCACAGGATAGAGAGAAGAGTAAGATCCATTTTCCATCACCAAGGAGCTCACAGGATGCAAGAGAAATGTAGTTTGGGGTTTGGTCTGTGAATTAGAGAACTGCTAAGTTTTATGGACTTTAATAAAAATTATAAACTTTTATAGTCTAGAAGTAATCTTTTAAAAAATTATTTGAAAGGGCAACATGTGGAGAGGGACAGATGGAGAAAGAGAGATTGTCCATCTGCTGGTTTGCTCCTCAAATGCCCATAAGAGCTGTGCGTGGGCCAGGCTAAAGCCAGGAGCCATGAACTTCACTCAGGTGTCCCTGTGGGTGGCAGGGATCCAAGTACTTGAGTCACCATCTGCTGCTTTCCAGATGGATTAGCAGGAAGCTGTATTGGAAGTGGAGGTGGGACTCGATTTCAGACACTAACATATGGAATGTGGGTATTCCAAGTAGTGATCTAACCTCCTATGCCACAACAACTATCCTTAGAGATAATCATTCTAGTTTAAGGTATCATCACTGGATTCTAGTTTGGTGTATGAAAGTTTTACTAACACTTCTTGTAGCACAAAGTATGGCCATTTTTTCCCATTTATCTTTTTTTGTAGAATATCCTGTGCAACCGAGATGTGAACTTCATTGGATCTCTGGGTGTTTATTCCTGGGTGGTTCCAGTCAAGGCCAGAGTGACAGGATCAGAACTCTGTGCTGTTTGGGCTTGTACCAGCACTACCATAGGCCGAAAGCTGTAATAAAGCATTTGGATATCACTTCATATTTCCATGTCTATTGTCCATCTCTGCAAAAGTTAAGGATGCAATCCATGCCTGACTAATGATACCAACACTACAATTTTGAAGCCTGCCAACAAAATGTTGTAACTACTTAACAAACTTACACTGAGTATAGTCATTTTGTGAACTTGGTCTTTATTCATTTTTATCTCAATATGAGCTACTTTGCTCAGACAGTGACACTGAAGCCAGAAAAATGGAATTCTCCAGTGCTAAAGAGTATCAGGTTCCCATTCTCAGACTTCATCTCTGAAATCTAGAATATTTACCCACATGACATCAATTCTGGGATGGGATGAGTGTTTAGAGTCACAGAAACAGAAGACAGAGTGTCACTTAAGTTTACAGAAGGGGAGTCATAAAACTGTTCTTGAACCTGTTATGGGATGGAGTTAATATTGTTTAAACAAGTCTGTTCCACATTGCATTGAATTAAAATATTCTCTCTCAAGAGGTAAAAGTGGGATTGTTTAGGATAAAGATAATTGGTTTGAGGGCTGCAACTGAGTACAGTTTCAGTCTGATTATGAGAAGTACCATTGCCAAACCAGAATACACTCCTGCTACCCAGCAACTCTATTTTAAAGGCTGTGAGGCCTCAAGTGATGCTTTTATGTTGGGGTGGTATTTGATACAACACAATTCCAGATTTACCAATAAATTTCAAGAGTTCTTTAGGTTTTGTTGTGTTGAAATGCAGTGAACAACTTTATGAATATGTAAAATCTGAAATTTTCAAGTGATCTCATGCTGTAGCTTAGTTTTGACCACCTGTTTACTTTCGGTATTGCTTTGTTGAACATGAGGTGGGAGTACGGAAAGTTTAGGCTAGGTGAGAGGTATGCCTGAGGACAGGTAACTAGATTGTGACAGAACCTTGCCAAGAACTCAAGGTTCCTCATTCTAAAATCAGTACTTTTTTGATTCTATGTGTGTATTTCAAGAAGTTGATGGATAAATGAAATTAAAAGGGGAGTTTATTCTGGTGCAAAATCAAATTTGAAATTCAGAGTTTTTACATAATACACATTTCTATCAAGTTTTTGAATACCACTTGAATGCATACACTCAATTGTTGCACTAAAAACTTGTCTATCACATTTGTTCACAGATTTCTTTAATACCATTGTCCTGCACCACCTTCCATTTGTCCCCTGAAGCTACTATTGGGAGACTGTCCACTTTCTCAGTAAGAAGTTCTCATCTTGGAATCTACTCAGGTGTATCCATCACACCCGGGACAACCCCTGGGTTCCTCATCTGTCTCACAACAGCTGGCATCAGATTTCTCTGCTGGGCTATGGCCTTGGCATCCCTCCTCTGTCCTGTAGGCAGGGCTGCCGCAGTCAACTGTGCCATAGAGTTCTGCCTCTTGCTTCTTTCACAGGATGTCCACAGCCACTTGCACGCCTCTGCGGAGCAATGAGCTATGCTTTTTTGGATCTTCAGGCACTGCAGTGTCAAATGTTTATTTTTTGTTTGTTTTATATCAGAGTCTAGAACTATTCAAGAGTGACAAGAAATGGGCTTTATTGTGGACAGTGTAGCCTGGGTTTGTGAGGCAAAGGACAATTCAAGGTAACAGGGAGACTAGCATGAAGGTCACAGAGCATAGGCACATAGCCAAGGGAAACAGGAAAACAGTAACTTACTTCTACCCATCTGAAAGGCCTGGAGAATGGACAGGGTGTGCCTGAGTAGGAGTGTGTGTGTGCATGTGCATGCGTTCGAATGCTTATAAAAGAAAGAACAGGGCAGAGGAGGTATAGAAGTATAGAGGTATAGAAGGTATAGAAGGGAGGTATAGAAGGAAAGGAGATAAGGGGAGGGAGCTCTGACTCTTTAGGTGGTGGCTTATTTTAGGTTTGATTATTTTGCTCATTCAATTAAAGTGGATAATCCTGAAATCTCTGCAAACCTCATTCATATGGAATGAAATAATCCATTTCCCAGTCTGGGGATAAAAATGTTTTATGTGAGTGAATACTTCCTCTGAATAGCAAGCACTTAGAGAAGTGCATGTGTAACTAATGTCCAGCTGTAAATGCTCACTACATCTCCAGAGAAACTTCTCAATGCTTCATATTGGAAATAATCTGTCTTGCTTGTTTTCCTTCTCTGAAAATGACTCACGACTCTGCACACACCTCTCTAGAAACAGGATATAGCATTTAAAAGCAACTTTCATCCCTAAGAGGCTTAAAAACAATCCTGTAATAAAACCAGTAACACAGATAGAGAGCTAGAGTCTTGGGTTTGTTTCTTTTCTTGTACTATTAGCATCACACAAGGACAAGAAACAGGAAATAATCACATTTAAGTAGAGTTATAGTTAACCTTCTTAGTTCTGCCCAAGTTCAGGGCTTGTCCTTTTTTTCAAATTTAATATTCTCTCATTAAAAAAAATAAATACAGGAAACAGCCCTTTTGGGAGGAAGGCAGGATAGGAGTTTCTGAAAGGATGGGAATTACTGACGTACGGGAGACTTGAATAAGCATTCACATATTTATTAGTGCCAGACCAACTTGAGTAATAAAATATAGATGCAAATACTTACTAGCCATTTCACAGGTGGATAACATAACATTCTGAAGTTTGCTATACACATTAGAAAATAGTCTCTGATTTGTCTTGTTCTTTGGTTGAATGTGGGCCAAAAAAAATCATTCTTACAATAATGTTGATTTGCTTTTTCCCCCTTGTAATGTGATTTCAAACACAACGATGGAGGGTGCTTTGTTCAGTTTCCATCAGGTTTAACTAAAGAGTGGTTTTAAACATTTATGTTGAAGTGACAGTTGACTTTTTATTACCTAGAAAGAGTTAGGTACTCCTCGCTGATGCCAACAGTATGACATTCTTCTTCTTCTTAGCCACATGAAAGCTCAATAAATGCTATTCATTGCTCAAGTGGACCCTAAAGAATCACTTTCAAAGGACACCACAGCTGAAGAAGTAATATTTATCAACATTAAATAAACACTTGGTGAAGTATGCATAAATATTTCTTCATATAAACATAACATGAAATTAAATAGTTCAGATACACAGACACCACTGAGTACACTTCCACTGTTGTCAAAGTCATCTGTAAACACCAACTCACACTGAATACAAAAGCAGCTTCTACCCCCACTCTGGGTTCATGACAAGGATGCCCTGTACAAAGGTGAGATTTCTCCACGGCCCTCCCCCCTCCCTCCCCGCCCTCTCCCCACACAGCCCCAAAGGAAAAGGAGGAACCCCAACATCTACAGCAGCAACAACGACAGAACAGCAGCACCCCATCCCCTCCCCCAAATAAAACATGTAGCGTTTGGTCAATTCAAAGTAGAATGCAAAAAAAAATTTTTTTTTCAAAAATGAAAATAAATCAGTCTGAAGTAATATTTTCCAAAGAATAATTCTTTAGAAGTCATGCAGCTTACTAGACCCCACCTATTCCTGGGTGAAGGTACACAGTGAACATCAGAAAGCCCTGGCCACAGCTAAATAACAAAAGGGTTAAGCCCTGTCTCCTAGGAGGTGCCAGGGTGCAAGAGGTTGAATACAATGTGTTCTCCTTCATCCCCCCCTTACAATATCTCTTCTGTTTTGCCATAAATATTGCTGTGTGTGACATTCAAATATGACACCACTACTAAGTTTCAAACCATTTAGAGAGCAGAAAATTTGTTTTGTTGGATGGTTGAATTCATACATGTGAGTGTGGTTCATTTTTTGAGCTCAGAGGGGCCCTGATTGAGCTCTGTGGAGAGAAGATCAGTAAGGGAGTTTGCCTACACTCAGAATCTAGTCAAGCCCTGGGACTCACTGACTCACAGGCTGTCTTTTCCGTACAGACCTGCTGGGAAGGCCTGGCTGCTCTCTGCTGGAATTTTCTTCAGGGTCATTTCTGGAAAACAGCTCCCGTTCCAAAAAACAAGGAAACTGGGTTTATTTCACTTTTATGTGTATTAGGATCCTAGAAAAACTTCAATTCCCAAAGTACTGAAAGCATAGACTGCAGGAATAATTTGCCAGTTCAGTGTTTCCCATGATATTATATACACTATGTGTGTGCGTGCAAAACTCACACATATATATATGTATATATACTTATGTAGTTTTATTTGTACGAAACTTGAACTGCACAAAACAGTACTTTGCAAGAATCAGTCCACAAATAGAGTTTAACATCACACCAAAGGAAAGACAGGAAGCTCTACAGGGACCAGAAGGTTCAGCTCTGCAACACATGAAATCATTTCAGAACCACAGATTCACTAGCCTGCTGTGTTCCACGTGGGATCTGGATCGACTCTCTTGAGATCCTTGGGAAGAACGTGGCAACTGGGCCTGCTATGCTCATCTGAGATTCCAGAGCTAATGGGAATGAAAAGACCCAGGCAATTCAATTCGGGTGTATAATTGCTGTGAAGCAATATATTTTTTCCTCTTTAAGAAAAACACATAAAGTCTATTTCAGAATAATTTTCTTTATATTCAGTAGTACGCTTTTTTTTTTTTGCTGGATCGATATTTGATTTTCATATTAAAGTGGGTCTATTCAATGGATCAGTAAACAGACAGCTTCTTTCACATCTGGGTGATAAAAATGTTTTATGTCATCACCAGAGATAACCCCCACCCGCACCTCACTTATCCTAAGGTCTGTGGGTTGATGTGTGCATTTTGTCACTGCTATCAATAAAACCTCATTCTATAAGGCCTGCTCAGGCACGCGCTTGTGAAAAATGACCGACTGTCTTTGCTGGTACTGCTGCTTGCGCCGCTTCCTCTTGTCACACTGGCACAGCAGCAGCATCTTGAACGTGGTTCTGAATGTTTTGTTGCACAGGGCATAGCACACGGGGTTCACGGTGCTGTTGATGTAGCACAGCCAGTAGCCCAGATTCCAATAAGTTTTGGGTATGCAGCTGTCACAAAAGGTGTTCACCAGAACCATGATATTGTAGGGGGTCCAGGTGATGATGAAGGCAAGCAAGATCGCGCTGAGGGTCTGGGCTGCCTTCTTCTCCTTGATGAGAGACATCCGTTTCCGTTTCGTGATCTGACTTCTAGTCTTCAGAGCAAATCTCTTGGCCAGAGTGGCTTCCTTGAAGGACAGAGGTAGAGTGGCCGTGGTCTTACCCACTGAGGAGTTGACATCTGAAGTCTTGTCTGTGTCCACGGCTGACTCTAACTGAATGGGAATCTTTGAGAAGCTTTTTTGAAAACTGCCTCCATCATCTACGCTCTTCTGAGACTGAAGCTTGTTGGTTTTCCTCTCCACATCCCCTGTCCCCAGCTCCTCCTCGGACACCTGCAGGTTGTCTGTTGAGGGTAACTTGGTAGAGTTGAGAATGGTGCTGTGACCGGGCAGCTTGAGCACAATTGAGTAGATGGCTCTCGTCTCAGAGCCAATGTCCTCCTCGTCGGAGGAGGCAGAGTTTTCCAGGGAGGCAGCAGCATCGTTGTTGTTCCAGCTGTCACTGCTGCTGTGGTCTTGGTCCATTTGCTCAGCACTGGGCTTCCAGCTCTTGGTTGTGAACCAGAAGTGGCAGCGGCCATACTTTCTCCTGGAAGAGTGTCTCATGCTTTGCTGCTGTAGCTCATAGCTGCTGCAGCTTCGGGAACTGCCTGTAGGATGTACAAAGTTCTCCACCTCTGCCTCTGTCCCCGAGGCTTGCAGCCCAGCAAGCTCTTTGGTACGTTTTTCAGTTTCCTTATAGATCCTCCAGTATAAAATAGTCATAATAGTGACAGGCATATAAAAGGCAGCGATAGCCGTGCCGAAGGTGATGGTAGGCTCACTGAGGAACTGAATGAAACATTCCCCTGGGGGCACAGTTCTCTTCCCCACAAAGTACTGCCAGAACAAGATGGCAGGAGCCCAAAGGACAAAGGAGATGACCCAAGCTAGACCAATCATCACACCAGCTCTTTTTGTTGTTCGTTTGGCTCGGTACGTGAGTGGCCTTGTGATGGAAAAGTACCTGTCAAAGCTAATGACCAGAAGATTCATGACAGAGGCATTGCTGGCCACGTAATCAATGGAAAGCCAGAGGTCACAGGCCAAGTTACCTAAAGCCCATCGGTTCATGATGATGTAGGTAGTAAACAGATTCATTGAAATGACCCCAATAATCAGATCAGCACAGGCCAGGCTTAAGAGGAAGTAGTTGTTGACCGTCTTCAGCTGCTTGTTGACCTTAAATGACACGATGACCAGGATATTGCCAATGATGGTCACCAAGGCCAGGAAGCCTGTTAAGAATGCGATGAAGACCACTTGCCAGAGGGTATGGCCTCCCAGAGGGTCACTGGTGGTACCATTTGGAGAGGAGAAATTCCCAGCTGCTCGAGAAACATTGTAGCTGCCAAAATGAGTGACTGTCCCTGGGGGCAGCCCTGCATCTGAGGGGCCGTGGATCCAGGAAGAGCTGATGTTTGGAAACAAAGGCGAGGTTGTACTGTTATTGTGCAAGGTCATTGTGACTCTCTGACATAGTCTGGGGGGAGAAAGAGAGAAGATAGGGAGTTAGGAAAGGTTCTGCCTTCATTTGATATGTTCTTGGTACTAACACATGAAACGACATGGAAGACCTCTTCTTGAAACCAAATGTGAAGTTCATTCTCTTAAAGGTGATCAGTCTAGGGCAAACAGAGACTGATTTGTTTAAGAGAGTACAATTAGCTAGTGTCATGCATTGAACATTGTGCCTTTTTCCACATTTTTAAACATATTCCATGATGGAATATAATGTGGATATCAAGGAAAATCATCCCTCCTGCTCTTATTTTGTAAAGGGGAAAAATATCAGATGTTTATATGACACTTGTTCAACATAGCATTATCATTATGCTACTTGGTAAACTAATTTGATCCATTTGCATTTTATACACCTGAACATTTACCTATCCACGGCTTAAGACTTGAACAAATTTAAGGTAATGCCAACCATTTAAGCCTCATTGGAATGAGCAATGTCAATACAGACAAGGGAGAAAATGTGTTAGTCAACTCACATATTATCTCTTTCAAACATACACCAAGAACATAATATATTGGGTCCTTACAACGAATGGTAACACAATTGTCTATAGCACAGCTATCTACACTTGATAATGTGTAGCAGAGCTTTTACCAGAATGTTTTGAATGGACCAGAACAGTTTTGAATTATTTTTAGTACTTAGATGTTTTAACTCTAATAATGAAACAGTATTTTAGCACATCACACATACATGAACATATGCACCCAAATACTTACTTAAGTATATGTAGTACAAAATAGCCATTAGTGCTTCTAAACATTTGTTACTACATTATATATATATATATATATATATATATATATATATATATAAAATAAGGTCTGTTACAATTAAAGCCATCATCAGTAAGACCCCTATGTTTCTGCCACTGGCCTTTGTTGGGACATGTACTATCCTCTTAGAAACTCCAGGGATGTACTTCTGGGACAACATCAGGCCAGGAATTCTCATTTCGCCAATTGCTGTAGACTAGATTCAGTACTCATTTGCCAGTGAGCGTCAGTTTGTGAATTCAAAGTTTGGTTATCACAGCAAACTTTCTGTTGTGTTGATGATATGAGTTTTAAAAATCTTTAGCTATAAGCTCGTATAAATAAAAATATGCACACTTCAGGAGTTCTAAATGTGGCTTTAAGTTAACTATCAGGGCATCTGTCAAAGCAGTGTGGTCAGGTCCACAAAGGCTCATTTGGAAAGGCTTCTTGGTGTAGCAAGTTCAGATATCAGTTTGATCACTTATTGGAGGTAGGGTCTTAGCTATATTTAATCTCTCCAAGTCCCAGTTTTTTCATCAAAAAAGGGAATTATAACTTTCTGCATAATGAGTTGAATTGTCGCTTAGTTCCTCCTAGAATCTGTAAGCTGAGAAGCTTTTTTTCTCATTAAAATATGTGTGTGTGTGTGTAGTCCTTAGGAGACAGACTGATATATAGTAAGTATTTACTGTTTTCATCTTATTACCCTTTTTATTGAACAATGAACACACTCTGTTTTGGCTTCCAGGATGCCGAGAATGACATTTACTACAAAAATATCAGAAGATGATATTTATTGGGCATTTACTATGTGGAATACCATGTATAAATATATTATGCACATTATTTTATTTAATCCTTCAAATAAAAATGGTTTACAGGAAATAAAGACATAAAGAATTAAGTGATTTGTCCAATAACTTGATCTAACAAGGGTAGGACAGGGTAGGCAGAGTCACACCCAGAAAATCTGTCTGCATGTCTCACTGCAGCATTACACTGCCTCCCCACAGAAACATTCCAGTTGTTCTGCACAGCTAGCCCTTGAAATGGAATTGATTTGTATTTAAAATTCATGGGATACTCTTCATCACCTAAATATTGGCAAAAACACAAATGAATTTAAAATCTAGTGTTGATGACATTTTTTGAAAAATACTTTCTTGGTCATGGAGGGACAGTGTAAATTGGTCAACTATTTGAAAGGCAATTTGGCAGCATCCCCCCAAAAAAATGCCAAAATCTAAGGTCCAAGGAGGCATTTGATTCTTCTGTGTGTAGTATATATATGCATAATACCAATACTGTAGGACTTTACACACACTTACATACTCACACATACATCTATTCACTTCAGTACTCTTTGAAATAATTAAAAATTTGAAACCACTCAAATATCCTACAAAACAGTGTACTACATAGAAGAATAGTATTTTCCCCTGGATGTAATCTTTACTTTGCAGTCATTTCCAATTAGAGGGAATTGATGGATTTCTCTTCTTTAGTTTACTTCCTTGTGTTTTATTAGATGATTCCAACTCATCCTATATTTAGTCCCCTTTCACTTAGCAGGTATCTGTTTGGGATGTGCTCTATGCTGCTTGCAACACTCTGTTATAATTTTGATTTCTTCTGAGACACGTATACAGAAGATCTTTCTGCTGGCTTTCCCTCCATCCGGATCCAGGTTTCCAATACTTGTGAGATATTTGTCTGGTCAACTTCCCAGTCACACCTGCAGCTATATAGACAGATGACAATAGATATGTCTTTAATCTGACAGTTTAGGTCACTGCTCTGTATCTGAGGTTAACAACACTGTAACGACTGTTTTACTGCAGAGGTAAGGATGCCTCTTGAATGTCCTTCTTCCTATATGGCTCAGATAAATGCCACTTTTGTCTTCTTAATGCATTTCTTGTTTGTTGGCACAAGGTCCATGGTAATTTTTTTTTATTTTTTAAAAGTTTTTAACTTATTTGAAAAGCAGAGAGAGGGGGAGAGAGTGAGAGAGTGAGAGAGAGAGAGAGAAAAAAATCTCATCTATTAGTTCATTCTCATAAATATGTACAACAGCAGGACTGGATCAAGCCAAAGCTGGGAGCTGAAAACTTGATCCAGGTCTTCCACATGGGTGACAGGGATCCAAGTACCTGAGACATCATCTTTTGCTTCCCAGAATATGCATTAGCAGGAAGCTTAAATTGGGAAGCAAGCTGGAACTTGAACCCAGAACACGCTCCGGGTGTCCCAAGAAACTTCATATTTCATGAGAACTGAAGATATCCTTTTACTTTGTTTTCATGCCTTATGCCATGCTGATAAATACAATGCCCAATAATCCCAGTGCATATTTTTGTTGACAATGTATCTGTCCTCTTTCATTTTTATTTTTGCCAAGTTCTCATTAGTGGATGTTTGTTGCTAGCCTTTCCTTCAGATATTCTTTTGCAAATAGTCCAAGATCCAGACTGTTTTGGGGGAGCACCAATCACATGATTCTGACTCCTCTGCTACAGTAATGGAATTGAAGTAGTTCAAGCAAGGCAAGTCACCTTGGGGAATGGAAAAGAATATTGGAGAGAGAGAACAAAATTCTCTTATCTTTTGGATTGCAAGGTACTGATCATCCTATGTATAATCACAGGGAAAACCTAAGAAGCAAGTTTTAGAGGAAAGACATGGAGGAAGAAGAGAGATGGGAGGAAAGGTGGAAAATAGGGACAATCATGATGATATCATTTGAAATTTGGATTTAGCCATTTTTGTGGCAACATTGCCTTCTTGACTTTGTGAGTTATGTGAGCCAACACATCTCCTTTGTTGCCTGGGCAGAAACCTGAAATTTGTTTCTCTCATCTGCAACAGACAGGGTCCTGATTAATGTAATCTGTCACTGCCAAAATTAATACATGCTCACTGAACCACTAGCAGCTTTATATGATTATGATTGGTGCTGTGGGATTCCATAAGTTACAGTCTCTGCCATCTATGGACTCCAAACCCCAGGAGAGGGATGGGACATGAACAAAATATTTTAGAATGCACAAAGTTATCCCAGCAATATCATTTCTCCCTATGGATAATCAAATTGTTGTACAAATTCACTAGCAAGTGAACTTAATCATTGATCAATGTTGTGAAAGAATAGAAATAAGGGAACAGCATTGTGGTGCAGTGGCTTAAGCGGCTGCCTACAACACTGGCATCTCATATGAGTGCTGCTTCAAGTCCCAGATGCTCCACTTCCAATCCAGTTCCCTTCTAATGTGCCAGAGAAAGCAGTGGAAGATGGCCCAAATGTTTGGGCCCCTGCCAGCCACGTGGGAGACCCAGATATAGTGCCAGGCTCCTAGTTTCAGCCTGGTCCAGCCCCAGCCATTGCGGCCATTTGGAAAGGGAAACAGAAGATCCAAGATCTCTCTCTGTGTGTGTCTCTCTCTCTTTAACTCTGCCTTTGAAAGAAATAATAAAATACATATTTTAAATAAAAGAATATAAATAAGAATTTTGGACATAAGTCTAAGTATGGCTCATTAATTTCATCTTGTGAGTCTGTACAGCACAAAAAGTATAGTATTCCAGTCTAATTAAGCTTTGTTGGAATATGGAAAATAAGCTAGAATTGACAAAACACACCTACAAGTGAGTCTAGCTCTCTTTATTGGGTTCATTAAACCTGATCTATCATGCTTGGATTCTAGAGTCTTCTTTTTTAAATTTTATTTTTAATTGACACATAACAAACATAATAAGGGGGAAAGTACAATGTTCTAATACATGGATACATTGTATAATAGTCAAATCAGAATAATCTTCAGAAAATCTTTGAATCATAAACTGTCAGACAGGCAATTTTTGATTACCTGTACTCTTTGGTATATCTACCAGGTCTACCGTTTTTATTGTAGGTTGACATTAATTTAATATCTAACATCTTGAAAGTCTCACAAATGAGTATTTTATTATTTAAAAATTTTCTAGTCTCTATCTGCATACAACAGATATGGATTATTAGTTTAGCAAAACCTGTAAAGTTATAAAAGAATCATTAACAGCGAATGTGTTGTCACTTACTTAGCCACAGGACACAACACCAAAGGGACAATAGTTAAGAAGTCCTGATTTCTGCTCTTGGGTTTCCTTCTAATAGTCTCATACCCAAAAGCAAAAAGAAAGAAGTAGGAGCAGGTGTGGGGT